CTGGGAGCTGAGGCTGTGGCCAGCAGAGCTGGGGTCTCAGGTTCACTTATGAAAAACGAAGTGATTTTTCACCTGTCCCCAGCCACAGGCTCACCTGGTCCCCCTGTCTCGACACTACAGTGCCTGCTGGTACGTGGAGAAGCGTCACCCGGCCGTCCAACAGGGAGGGATCCTGAAGAAACAGAAGCGCAACATCAGCAAACAGCAAGCCGAGGGCAACAGGAACACGCGCAAGTGGAGGCACACAGGTGACGGCCGGGCTGCAGAGGCAGGGAGCCGCGAGGTCGCCAGCCACATGGAGCTGGCGGAGAGCAGTGGGCGTGACAGAGAGCACAGACGCGGCCCAGACCTGGCGAGAACATTCTTGTTCCCATGCAAGAAGCACTTGCCATGAAGGAAGACGGGTAAGTCTCACTGCACTTTGATTAGGCGCCTCTGCCCACCATGCCCTGAGAAGGCCAAGGGGCAAGGCCTAGCATGGGGCCTCCTGCCCAGAAAACACAGTCCCGGGGTCACCAAGGAAAAGACAGCCCGAACGTGGGCAGAGGCCATACCAGCACTGCACAGAGGGAATCCAGGAGACAGGAAAGCAAATGAAATGAGAAGACGCCCCGCCCCTGCCCAGCCCCCGACTCTCCCACCACTCTGACCTACTTGCCCCCCACCTGCCCTGCCCCCATGCCCCACTCACATCCAGCTTCATCAGCGTAAGCAGGTCCTTCTTGGCAGCTCTGAAGATGGTGTCCATCTTCCTGCTGGCCACAGCCTCATCTGAGTGGCTCTCTGAGTAGTGGAAGACCGCAGATGGGGTCTCAGACACCATCACACTTTTCTTGGACTTGAGAAGAACAAGACACCGGCATCAGAAAGAAAGATCGGGAGGTCATGGTCCCAGGGAGGGCTGGCCGAGGACCCCCTGTAGACAGTGGCCTCCCGCACTTGAGGAGGGGGCAGCAGGATCCACCTTGCCGGCCACAGAGCTCCCAACGTGCTCATCCGCTTGTGAGAATGCCCGGGCACGGTCACAGGCCGCCTGCAGGTCCAAGTAGGCCCCCACTGCGCTGCCTAGGAGGGGAGGGGACGCTCAGGACACCTGCACCCACTCGAGGCGCCGAGAGCTGCCAGATGGTCTGACAGACACACGGAGTCGCTGAGGGCACGCTGCTGCCACCGCACCTCACCGTGGCCAGTCAGCTTCTGTGTGCCGGCACGTCCAGACCAGGGGCCTGAATTCGGAGGAAGGTGCGAGCTTTGGAGTCGGCTCCCCAGCGTTGGCCCAGGCCCCCCGACCACCACCTGTGTACCAGCTGCCTCCTCTGCCCCACGTTTCCCCTCTGAAGGTAGAACTCGGATGCCCAGGCCACTCCGGCCCATGTGAAGGCTGCACAGATGAGGTGCATGAGCTGTAAAAGTAGCAGCTGG